GGGAGGCCTTGCTCACAGAAACTCCTACTTTAATCACCTCATAGCTTGCTCTTGCCATTCTTTGCTATCTCAAGTATACCAATATATTTAAAATAATTTGGGATCCATGGTCTTGTTAACTATTCAGATATAAAACTCCTCCATTTCAAATGAAATCTGATGACTTTGATTTATTCCAATGATTTAACAGTATTGTGAAGAAAACATATGCACACACACACACACACACACACATTTCCAAGAAAAGAGAAATAGGACCCAATTGTGGATACATTTTCCTTATCAGTAATACTGCAGCAAAATTATTTACAGACAGTAACGTCCTTAGATAATTGTGATCTCACAGGGTGTTTCTCTTGGGATGATATATGCATTCCTTAGCTTTTTATATAATTGTTCTCTTTCATCCTTTTCCCCTTTTCAGTGATTTAAAAGTGTGATATTGGGGAAAAACAGGAAGGTTATTGAAAAATATGTTTCCATTATGACTTAAAGAGATTTTGTTTGGTTAAGATATTATGCTAAAAATTGGGAGAATATATGTTCTAGTACTGCCTTGGGTACAAAGCCAGTTGTGTGACCTTGGGCCAGTTGCTCTGTCTTAGACCTAGGAAGGAAGCAATGGCAAGCCATTTCTGACTAAGCTTGCCAAGAAAACTGCAAAACCAACTTGAAGTTGTGTGTGCAGACACAAATTACGCCTTAATAATTTTAAACAAAGAACTAGCATAACTAGATGGTGAATGTATGGCACAAAAGAGAATGTTTTGAATGTCAAATGTATATGCCATGGTAATAGATATCCTTTCCCAAGCTGGTACTCTCTACTCATTTGGGGACTCTAGCTCTCCATTTGCTACCCTTGACTAATTGGCTAGGAATTCTGAGAAATAGAGCCTCAACTTATTTGAAGGTAACCAGGTTGGGGTAGGCCACAATAAAAAATGAGGACTGTATGAGTTTCATTCTGTGTATGTTTTCCTATTTAATGCAGGTATGTTTTACTTCTGGATCAGAAAGCACTCATTGCCCATTGGTGGAACTGGCCTAAAGATTTCTACTACTGACTTCATGCGCCTAATCCCCACTCTCTGAGCAAATTCACCTCTCACCCACCTATGCAAACTCCCTTTGCCATAGGACAAAATACTGTTCAATCTAACAGCTTCTCTGATTTGACCCTGGCTAGAATCTCCTGCCTGTCATTTCTGACACACTGTAGAGCTTTGAAGCAATCCTGCAGCTATAGACCTATCAGCTGACCCACAATTGTCAAAGCAGTCATCTGTATTTTTAAAATGTCAGGACTATAAACCTTGCTCTGGATTTACCAAATTAAAGGGAGAGAGAGAGAGAGAGAGAGAGAATGAAAGAAAGAGAGAGAGAATCCATTAAACCTGGATACAGTTAACTGAAGGGCATATAATTTAAAACAGTCATTATTATTATTATTACTATAAGGATATTTTTTCTTACACAGTTCAATGGAAAAAATATGTATGTGCATTTAGAAGGGTTTTTCACAATTGCTGTTTTAACCAGTACTATCAAAGCCTTTGTTAAGGAAAACCCAGGAAGGCAATGATTTTTGTTTGTTTTTATACGGTTCCTCTGAACAGTATATTGTACATTTTTCTGAAAAGTTTTATGGAAACTGTAACATGCCAAAACGAGTCTAGATGAAATGGTGGAAACTCAATTACACCAGAGGAAACCCAGGCATACTGTCAGCCCAATAGATAATACTTTCTATGTCTCAAATATAAAGGCAGGACATTTTAGTATGCTGGGAGAAAACTTGCAATGGACAAAACAGTTGACCGAAAGGGAGAAACACAGCAGAAAAGTATATTATGCCACATTTTTAACTGGATCATAAAAATATTCTGTCCATCTAATCTGAACATCTAGACAGGGATCTGGTCTAAAGAGTTGGCAACTTTAAAACTTGTGAACTTCAACTCCCAGTATTCCCAGCTAGCATACCCCAGAATCCTGTGAGTTGAAGGCTACAAGTCATATAGTTGCCAAGATTGGACACCCCAGTCTAGACAGAGCTTGTTGGAAGTCCAGTACCAACACGAGATACAGGCGGTCTTAAGCCTTCTTGGTTTTTGCCTTTAATCTCCAGAATTCCTTTCTTCTGGCATTTACCCTTGACATCTCTCTTACTTTGAAAGGCCCAGTTTCAATAGGCTTTGCCTCTTACAGTAATTGTATGCAGCCACTTAACTTTTTATTGTTGTATTATGTATATTTTCATGTCTGTTGAACTTGTATTCAGAATCCACAAAGATTGGAGCACTATACACAAATGTTAATAAATAATAAGCAAACACTGCAGGCCTGTATGACTTTACAGTCTAACCTTGCAGAAGGAAAGGGCCATTTTAGAAGCAACTTTCTTTCAAAGGTCTTTCAAGTCTATTTGGAGGATAAGTGCCTAAGAAGAGGACACTCAAGACTGTATGCAGCCTAAGAGTAACTAAGAAAAATACAAGACTGTCTTTGAATTATCCAAACGTAGAATCATAGAAAGTTCCTTTTTCTAGAGTGAATTTGTGTGCATGCTAATGGCAGAAGAGAAACCTTAGGATCCAATTTAAGGGGGGGAAATTAGACTTTCCATGCATTACAATACACAGGATGGGCTAGAGAAATGCTGGTTATAAATATGTCTCAGGGACTATGTCACATTGCTGAAACTTGACAGTCATAAATTCTTATTCCTGATGATCTGTTTATGATCTTGATTTATGTCTTGGCTCCAAATTTTCCATAGGTCCTTGCATGTGACCTCCTGTCTTTGATCTCTGGTTGTTTATGACTTCCGTGTGTGCTCTGCTGTTTCTTGACTGCAAATGTCAATCATTCTGGAGCAGAATACCCTCTATTGACTCTAAGATGACAGAAAAAAAAAGTAAAACAACTGGCCAGTACATGCATTTTTAGGCCTTGATACAGAAAATTAAATGTAGGCATTTTTCCTTTTCTTCTCTCAGTTAAGAAATAAATTGCAGGAGATTCTTGCAGTCAACATGTATCAGAAGTGTACTTTGTTAGAATATTTTGGTGGAACCTCCTATTATCCCTGGTTGGGAAGAAGATATATGTGCTCTTTGCACTCACATCAGAGTTCTTTTTTTTCCCCAAGACACCCACACCCACAAACTGTATACTGAGCTCCAAAACACAGCTTGTTAGTTGACTATTGCACTTCAAAATAATTTAATTTTACCTATAGGTAAACCTTGAAATGTAGTAGAAAGATTATTTTAGCTAAGAATATTGCTAAAATAACATGAATATCAGAGAATTCTACCACGTGTTCCATTATTTTTGGTATATAAGTATAGCAAAAGTGACAGCAAAAAATCTCACTGTCATAATCTCTGATGATCTGAAGGCCTTCCATATATATTGTGGGCATGGCTGCTGTTTTCCTTAGTTTTTACATCACATTACATGTTTTTGTTCTTCCCTTTTCCCCTGGGTAAGGGAAAAACCTATGGCAACAGGATGGCAACATAACTTCCCCTCCTCCTGTTCATGAATTGGAATCTAGATTTGAAAGAAATTTCTTTTATAGTAAAATAAATAAAACAGACAAGGTTTAAAGAAGCCTGTGTGGACAGTGCATAATAAAATACCAATGTTCTAACAATACATATCAAAACACATTCCATGTAGGCAGTTCCTTTTATGCAACTCTTTCTAATAACTAGGCAGATCACATGAAAATGATTTAAACTGATACTTATCTATGTGATAATAACAAGAGCATAATTTTCTCCAAAGTAACAATGTTGGATATCTCCTGGAGGAAAGAGGAAACGAAGCCGGCCTTAAAAAACTTGGCACCAGGAACTATGGAAGACTGTAATATTATTAATATCCCTTGGAACAATTTGGAAGATGGTATGAATGATCAGAACTGCTGGAAAACACTTGCTGGCCAATGTGCTCTACAAAGGAGATAATGATGATGATGTGTCATATCCGATATTTTGATTCATCTTGCACAATAATTGGCATATGATCTTTCTACCAACATTTTCACAGCAATTCCAACATCCCTGGAATACTGCTGCTTCCCAAACTACTTATTTAACTACCACAGGAATAGACCTGGAGCAACGATCCAGATCATATTGGATTGAAGATCTTATAATTCCTCATAAGTGGCCATGCTAGGTAGAATAGAGGGTAGTGACAGCAAAACCGTGTTGGGAGGATCCAACACAATATGCTGTTGTTTTCCTTGTACTTTATCCTATAGCATCTTAGAACTCAGTATAATGAATATGGTAAATCTATTCCATTTAATCAACCATTTCTCATTCCTTCTCAGTCTCCTGACACAATCTTTGCACAGAGAAGCTTTAACTGGTTCTGATTGTTCTGTATTCCTAAAGAATACTATATTCTTCTGGCATGCATCAGAGGCCTATCTCAGAACACAGGATTTTGACTCATTTCCCTCGATTTTTTATCTCCAGCAGAATCCCAGTTATTAATAACTAGTATTTTATTAAAGTGAACCCTTTAGTAAATGGCTGAAGTTCATTGTAATCATTGGTCTTACCCCTTCCCTTTTCGAAATCACAATCTTTTTTTTTTCAAATAAATGTGGGCTATGTTTGCTCTAAAGACAGAATATTTTTTTTCTGCTGACACCAGAATTTTAGTGCATTACTTGAACTTTTCATTTGATTGTTCTAGGCCTTTTTGTGCAATATTGGTCATGTTTCTTCAGAAAGTTCAACCTCGGGGGGGGGGAATCACTATTTACATCCAAATGCAAAAGTCATTATCAGTCCCTGCAATAAAATACAGATATATACTAATACAGATCCAAAAAGATAGAGAGACATTGACAGATTCACACACACACACACACACACACACACACACACACACACACACGTTTCCCTAAAATTCTGTAAAGTATGGTGGAAAGTGAAAGTATCAACAGGGGGACAGATATTTACACAGCTTATATTCTCCTAAATATGTTACCATTTATTTTAGTTGGGAGAAAGTGAAATGCTAATGATTGATTCCCCAACTTTCCATGTTCCAAATAATGGTAACCAGCTTTGGAAGATGAGAATTCAGCAGCAGAGAAATATGTTGCAATATATAAGCTCTGTCTGTATCTGCTTGCTCTTTTGCATAACTTATATAAAGGCAGGATGATAGCAAAATATTGTATGAGAAAAATATCATTATGTTTATGTATTTTACATAAGAAAAAATATAATGTGTACTGGAAAAGGCTGATCATATGTCAAAGTATATTCAGATCCACAGCCCAAACAATATTCAAACATTAATAAGTTTACAAAGAAACAGTTATTTATGTAGAGCTGCATTAACAAGGGAAGCACAATGCATTTTGTTATATTTTTTCAGATCATAAAGTTTTAATAATATTGCTTCTGCTTTCTATAAAGTTGTGAATTGAGAGCAGGTTATGAACGGACTGTACATTTGTTTGTGACATTCCTTCAACAGATGTCCCAGATGAGGAAATTCCTCACAGATTAATGATATTATTGTGAAGTTTCCTTTCGAAGCCTTAGCGGTGAATCATGAGGCTGCCTGAACTGCAGAGATAGAGATGGCTTCTCTAATTACTCGCATCTTGGAACAACCAACTGGAATTTATTTACCTGGAACAAAGATAGGAGAAAATTGTTCAATTTGCATTTCCCAAACTAATACACGAACTGAAATGTAATATTTAATATTTGTACTTTCTTAGATTCTAAGAGTGCAGTTTTCTGAGCATAACAGTTTGCATTTAAAGAGGAAAAGGTGCTATAATAGAATAGCAATTGGATTATTGCCTTAAGGACAGTGGGATGGTTCAGTGGTTAAGACACTGGTTTTGTCGACTGGACAGTCAAGTTTTGAAACCCGAACACTGTGCAACAGGATGAACTCATGTCTTCCTGCCAACCTAGCAGTTTGAAAGCATGCAATGCAAATAGATAAATAGGCACCACTTCATTGGGAAGGTAGCAATACTCTGTGACCTCATGCAGGCTACATGACTTTGGAAATATCTTCAGACAGCGCTGGATCAATGACCTTGAAATGGAATGAGCACCACCCCTTATAGTCGGCAATGATTAGCACATATACTGTAGTCTGCAACGACTTTCACAGTAAAATCTGCTGAGACTCCTTGAAGAATTATAAGATTATTTAAAAGCATCAGAAAGGGGGCTTATATTCTGCAACAAGCAAACAACAAACTGTTTGGTGCACTCTGTTTTTAAAAAATTAAGCGAAGATGAAATAGCATTTCTTGGCTAGCATGCATATTTCAAAAAGTAAGGTCAACCTCTGTTGTCTTGGATCTTAGCTGGCAAATATTTTTTGCAGATCTTTACTTTTGTATTTATTTTTTAAATATGCCACTCTAAGATATTGCCCATAAAAGTGGAAAGATAAACCTCTCGTTACTAGGCTGAGGAAACACCAGGATCCTAATAGTAATAAAGTTCCAATCTCAGAGGGAGAAAATCCATGCCAGAAGAAGTTTCTGATCTTGCAGTATGCATCTAGAATGGTTCTTTTTGACACCAGTTCAGAATGGGTAAACCTAGACATATGGATAGGGTGAACTCGTTGTTTTCCTGCTGTGGTTCCATAGTTAACATCAACATAGAGGTGGAGTGTAGCAGTATGAGTTCTTCTCTTTGATTTCAGTGAGTGAGATTGTTTTAATTTAAAACACAGAGAGAGAGATACACACAGACACATACACAAACTTATGGAAATAGGAAAATAAATGCCATTCCATGCCTCCCTCACTTTTGTTCTGTAGCAACAGGTCAATAATGCAAAGGAATTTGCAGGATTCAGTACTGCAGTATTCCACCATCCCAGTACCATGGCTTGATATTTATGCTATAATTTTAAACCAGACTATTATCAAGTTTCTATATTAATAATGTACAAATGCAATCAGTCGAGTCCTTCCATTCAATTTCATACGTATACTTATCATCATAAACTTAGAGAATAATAGAAAGGAATATTTTCAGCCAAACCTTTGCTTAGTACAGGATTAGACTCCACTTGAACAGATCAAATACAAGAGTTGACTCCACTTGAACATATTCACCATTTCTCAGAATAATTGTTTTCCTATCAAACTGTTCTTATTATTTGTTTTTAATATTCAGCTGGAATCTGGGAATTAGATCCTGTGAGTTAAATCCACCTTACATTCGTCTGTCCTGAATTTTGGAACAATGGAAAACAACTCTTCATTCTTGTCTGTATCCTTTCAGATACAGTATTTGAAGATTTCTATCAAATATTGTCCTTAGTATATTTCTTCCCAAGATTAAACATTCCCAATTCTTTCACTCTTTCTTTGTAGAATTAATTTCTGTTCATTCTTATTTCTTTTTCTCTAAATCTGTTTCAGTTTGTCTGAATCTTCTTAAAGTGTGATGCCCAGTTCTAAAGGTAGGTATGACCTACATAGCATAAAATAATATTTCCGCTGTTGATGTAACCTAACTTTTGCTATCTATTTTTGTGACTGCATAACACAGTTGACTCATATTTCATAACTACAGTACTATATCAGGCTGAAGGCATATCTACACTGCAATGTTGTGTATAACCTGGATATTAAATTCATTCAAAGTAAATATATATTTCATTGTCATGTTTCTATTAATCTCAAGTTTCAGTCCTGTAATTTACTCTGTTTGTTTCAGTTCTTTTCAATCCTTCATTAAAGTAGCTGGACAAAAATAAGAAAGAAAATGAAGAAAAAAAAAAATAGGAATAGCCTTGCCTTTTTCTTCATCATATGCTAGTTTTTGATCTATTTCATCAAACAGCTGGTATACTGATTTTCTTGTTCCTTTTATTCTAAACAATTTTAATCTTTGTCCAACCTCATCTCATCCTAAAGTTCATCTTTTCACCTATAATTTCAAACTTCAGACTGTAATCATTTTAGTGACCTGTTTCTATTTTCATTTTCTATATGTGCTTTTTTCATTTTCAGGTTTTTATAAAGCTTTGTAAAAATGCACATTGGTTTCATCTACTGTTCTCCATCATTTTTCCTCATTAGAATTATTTTCAATTGTGCTTATTATTTTGAATTCACTTTTTAATGAATTTCCATCTACATTAAGCTCCTTTTTCCATTAGTTTGTTTTTCTAATGAATCCTCCTTATCCCTTTTCTGGGTTTATTAAAATCCAGTCCATTAAATTTTATTGTTTTAAAACCCCAAAGAAAAGTATTTGAGTATACATAAGTTGGTTTCCTGGAAATACAGACAATATGTTATCATGTACTTACTATTTCCACTTCCTTGACTACATGTCCCAATTGATTAGTATCAATTAATAGTGTAGAAGAGATATTTTCTGCGGCCTTCTTCTATTCTCTGAAGAAAAAAAATGTTAGCATGTCAGGAATTTTCTGGTAGGACCATGCATAACAGAATTTGTCTCTCAACCAATGACAGGGTAATCAAAATCCCCCATCACTACTACCACTTCATGCTTCTTTGAAAGATCTTTTAAAATGCAGTAATCATATTTTTTCTCTAATACAGTGGATCATAATAGACACAACAGTTTTTATTGTCTTTATTCCTCCACATATTTTAACCCAAATTCACTCTACAGCATTGTTTCTCAGCCTTAGAAACATTAAGGTCTGTGGACTTCAACTTGCAGAATCAAAGTCCACACATCTTAAAGTTGCTAAGGTAGAGAAATATTGACCTATAATATTGGCAAATTAAATTGGATTACTGAACAAGCTTAGATACTTTTAACATAGTAACTAATTATTTTCAATTGTGGGTGCTTCTTTTGAACCAATTGCATCTTCAATTTCTCATTTCCAGTCACAGAAACCATCTAACCAGGTCTCCATTATACCTACTGAATCTTATTTCCTCCCACGACTAGAAGTTCAAGCTCAATTTATTTGTCTCTGGTATTCTATTAGTAGGTATGATGGTCATACATTTTATTTGTGTCAATAGCAGCACTTACTTTTCCTTCCACAGTGCTCAAGTATTTATGTGAAGTTCTTCCTTCAGAGTTCTTATCTTCAAGCCCAAAAGGATTACATTTTAAATCCTTCTGGTCAAATTTACCATGCTTCAGCCTGTCTCATACAAGCAGTCCATTATTCTCATAATTAAGACTATTGTTCCAGGAATCTAATCTCTTCCATCATCATCAGTTGCCTAACCAGACACTCATTTGCAATATTCATCTTTCCCACTCCAATCGTTTTAGATTGCAGGGAAAACCACCCAAGATCAATACACCACATCCTTCCATCATCTTGAGCTTCCTTCAGCATTCATATTCCTTGAAGTATAATTTATTTCCACATAAATTAGATGGAAGAGTTATTTGTCTGTGGGATTCATAAATCTTGAAAGTCAGTCCTGAGATATCCTTGATATTTATTTGTAGCAGATAGTTCATATCATAAACCACTGAGTTCAAATAGCATACAGGTTTTTTTAAGTAATGAGACACCAACCACTACAATTCTTTCCTTGATTTGATCAAAACCAAATAGAATGTAATGATTATTTCCAGAGATTTGGAAATTATTTTAGTTATTGGTTTTTTTTGTCTTTATTCCCATTCAATTCAAATAAGACTGAGTGGCTTATAAAATATCAAACGTATATTTCCTGGAGGAAAAAACCCAATAATATTAAAAAACAAAACAAAACACAACAGGGTTTCCACAACCCATCTAATCCCAGGTCTGGAACACAACCAGGTCTTAAGGGACTTTAAGACATTTGGAGAATGAGAGCCATATGTATTTCTGGGGATTCAGCATCCTGCATTCTTTCATTCTTTCTTTTCCTTGATTTGAAGATTTGAAGTTTACATCTTTGAAAACCTGAAAATTGTTTCTTAGTTCTAATGGTGCAGAATACTGTCTATATTTTTTGATTCTTGTTGTTGTCAATTAACCTTCATTCTTTATTTGACTATTTTCCTATGGTAAATTGTTTTCAGTGTTAGTTTCTACCTTAGGATCTCCTTTATGGGAACCAATAAAACATCCTTTATTATCAAGTATCCATTTACTACTCCTATTGTTTGATTTATTATTCATTATATTTATTATTCAAGGGTAACTACAGGCTTGTGTTTGCTGAATACGTAGGCCAGAATGTGGTCAACCAGGAACATAAATAGACATGAGCACTATAAGTAAAGGATTTCTCATCCAAGGATCTTCATCTTCACTTTTGTTTCTTAAGCTTTTACCAATTTTACTGCAGAGAAAAACATATAATCATAAAATAATAAAAGTTGGGAGAAGTGGCCATTAGGACATTGAGTCCAATTCCCTGTTCAGTGCAAGAATCGACATTAAAGGAGATGGATGATAGTCTCGCTCTATTAGGAAGGTTTTTTTTCTCATCAATATTAAAGTGGAATTTGTGTTCTTGTAATTTACATCCATTATTCTGTGTCCTGCACTGTGAAACAAGAGAGAACAGGATTTCTTCCCTAAGACATATACTGTATTTTAAAAGTGCTATCAGTTTCTATCACAGTCATCTTTTCTTAAGGCTAAGCTTAATGCATATCTCTTTCAGTCTCTCTGCAATTATTCTAATTTCTAGTCTCCTGACCAACACTTTTTCCCTCTCCAAAACTGTCCTGTTTTTCAGAATCCTGCCCATAACTGGACACAGTATTTGAGACAAAATCCAATCAAAGCTGAAGAGAATAAAATATTAGTTTCAGTGATTTTTGAAATTATACTTTTGTTAATGCATTCTAAAGATTTATTTGTTTTCTTTGCATAATATTTCACTGCTGTTTCGTATTCTTTAAAAACTGACTATTGTTCCAAAATATTTTTCTAAAAGCACTACTACCAAGCTACCCATTCAACTACTATCAATACTACTTATTCAGCATTCTACATCTGTGCATTTGATTTTTAATTTCCTAAATGAGAAAATTAAATTTGCAAAGTGAAAATCTGTGAAAAGAACAAAACTATCGGATTTCATTATATTACTTTTAGTCATTCCTCCAAGCTATGAAAATCATTTTGGGCAAAGGAATGTAGGTCTGACCTTGGGAGTGGGGAATGAATGAATGAATGAATGAATAGATTTTCAGAACAGATTGTTCAGTCCAGAGAAAGAGGAAAATAGGAGAAATAAATTCAAAATAACCCCATATTGACTTTATTTCATTTACGATGGAGGAAACAAAATCTGTTATAGGCTTTCAAGACTCTGCTTCTTTTACCCTTCAACAAGGAAAAGCTGGCTGTCTGAGGAAGCTTTGCAAATAGCTGAGGAAAGAAGGGAAGAGAAAGGCAAAGGAGAAAGAGAAAGATACACCCAATTGAATACAGAATTCCAGAGAATAGCTAGAAGAGATAAGAATACCTTCTTAAATGAACAGTGCAAAGAAATAGAAGAAAATAACAGAATAGGGAGGACCAGAGATCTCTTCAAGAAAATTGGAGATATGAAGGGAACGTTTCATGCAAAGATGGGCATGATAAAGGACCAAAATGGCAGAGACCTAACAGAGGCAGAAGAGATTAAGAAGAGATGGCAAAACTACACAGAAGAACTATACAAGAATGAGCTTAACATCCCAGATAACCACAATGAGATGGTCACTGACCTCGAACCAGACATCCTAGAATGTGAAGTGAAATGGGCCTTAGAAAATCTGAGCAACAACAAAGCTAGTGGAGGTGACAGTATTCCAGCTGAGCTATTCAAAATCTTAAAAGACGATGCAGTAAAAGTGCTACACTCAATTTGCCAGCAAATTTGGAAAACTCAACAGTGGCCACAGGATTGGAAAAGGTCAGTTTACATTCCAATTCCAAAGAAAGGCAATGCCAAAGAATGTTCAAACTATCGCACCATTGCACTCATTTCACATGCTAGTAAAGTTATGCTTAAAATCCTACAAGCTAGACTCCAGCAGTATGTGGATCGAGAACTACCAGAAGTACAGGCAGGATTTCGAAGAGGCAGAGGAACTAGAGATCAAATTGCCAACATACGCTGGATCATGGAGAAAGCTAGGGAGTTCCAGAAAAACATCTACTTCTGCTTCATTGACTATGCAAAAGCCTTTGATTGTGTGGATCACAACAAATTGTGGCAAGTTCTTAAAGAGATGGGAGTACCAGACCATCTCATTTGTCTCTTGAGAAACCTATATGCGGGTCAAGAAGCAACAGTGAGAACCGAACACGGAACCACTGATTGGTTCAAAATTGGAAAAGGAGTCCGGCAAGGCTGTATACTGTCGCCCTGCCTATTTAACTTATATGCAGAGCACATCATGAGAAAGGCAGGGCTAGATGAATCAAAAGTTGGAATTAAGATTGCCGGGAGAAATATCAACAACCTAAGATATGCAGATGATACCACTCTAATGGCAGAAAGTGAAGAGGAACTAAAGAGCCTCTTGATGCGGGTGAAGAAGGAGAGTGCAAAAGTTGGCTTGAAACTCAACATTAAGAAAACCAAAATCATGGCATCCGGCCCTCTCAATTCCTGGCAAATAGATGGGGAAGAAATGGAGGTAGTGACAGATTTTATTTTTCTGGGCTCCAAGATCACCTCAGATGGGGACTGCAGCCAAGAAATTAAAAGACGCTTGCTCCTGGGGAGGAAAGCTATGGCAAATCTAGACAGCATACTAAAAAGCAGAGACATCACCCTGCCAACAAAAGTGCGTATAGTCCAGGCCATGGTTTTCCCAGTTGCAATGTATGGCTGTGAAAGTTGGACCATAAGAAAGGCTGAGCGCAAAAGAATTGAGGCCTTTGAACTATGGTGCTGGAGAAGACTCCTGCGAGTCCCTTGGACTGCAAGGCGTTCAAACCGGTCAGTCCTAGAAGAGATCAACCCCGACTGCTCTTTAGAAGGCCAGATCCTGAAGTTGAAACTCAAGTACTTTGGCCACCTAATGAGAAGGAAGGATTCACTGGAGAAGAGCCTAATGCTGGGAAAGATTGAGGGCAATAGAAGAAGGGGACGACAGAGAATGAGATGGCTGGATGGAGTCACTGAAGCAGTAGGTGTGAATTTAAATGGACTCCAGAAGATGGTAGAGGACAGGAAGACCTGGAGGAACATTGTCCATGGGGTCGCGACGGGTCGGACACGACTTCGCAATTAACAACAACAACAAGGAAAAGCAGTCCTGGAATCTTTGCCATGCCTACTCCTTAAGCCTGCATACCACAAAAGGGTGACATTTCTTTCTTCAAGAATATTAATTATGTTCTCCAATTTTGTATGATCTGCAATCTGAAAATAATTCTTCCTTTTTATCCAAATCCAATAAAAATATTGAAAGTTAGACAACCCAGAAATCAATGAGATTTTTTTAGTATGGTTTT